GCCAGCTGTGATAAATAATGGGGGGATCAGCCAGGCGCAGTGGCTCACGCCTGTAATACCAGCACTTTGGGAGGCCGAAGTGGCGGATCACCTGAGGTTGGGAGTTCGAGACCAGCCTGACCAACTTGGAGAAACCCTATCTCTACTAAAAATACAAAATTAGCTGGGCCTAGTGGCACATACCTGTAATCCCAGCTACTGGGGAGGCTGAGGCAGGAGAATCGCTTGAACCCCGGTGGCCTCTGCCTTGGCGGTGAGCCAAGACTGAGCCATTGCACTCTAGCCTGGACAACAAGAGGGAAACTCCGTCTCAAAAATAATAATAATAAAAAATAAATAAATCAATAAATAAATAATAGGGGGCTTAAAGGTGAAACTCCAGGCTGCCAGCAATGCTGCCCCCCCACATCCTATGGAGCCCTCAGAACCTGGCACCCTCTACACCGAAATCATCCACCCAACCAACAAATGTGCATTAAGTGGGGTGTGGTGGTGTGCACCTGTAATCCTAGCTACTCAGGAAACTGAGACGGGAGGGTCACTTGAGCCCCTAAGTTGGAGGCTTCCGTGAGCCGTGATCATACCACTGCACTGCAGCCTGGGCAACAGAATGAGACCCTGTCTCTAAAAATAAAATTAAAAATAAATAAATGTGCATTAAATACCTACCAAGCATTGGACTCTGGAAAGATGCTGGGAATACCCAGATAAATAAGTTGTGGTTCTTGCCTTCAAGAAGTCCCCAGGTCGGCTGGGCGCGGTGGCTCACGCCTGTAATCCCTGCACTTGGGGAGGCCAAGGCGGGTAGATCACAAGGTCAGAAGTTCAAGACCAGCCTGACCAACATGGTGAAATCCCGTCTCTACTAAAAATACAAAAATGAGCTGGGTGTGGTGACACATGCCTGTAACCCCAGCTACTTGGGAGGCTGAGGCAGGAGAATCACTTGAATCTGGCAGGTAGGGGTTGCAATGAGGAGAAGTGACGACCATCGCCTGGCTAACACAGTGAAACCCCGTCTCTAACTGAAAATTACCAAAAAAAATTAAGCGGCCGCGAGGTGGTGGCCGCCTGTAGTCCTAGGCTACTCAGAGGACTGAGGCAAGAGGAATGGCCATGAACCCGCAGGGAGGCCGGAGCCTTGCCAGTGAGCCGAGGATGGTGGCCCACCTGGCACTCCCAGCACCTGGCCGACAAAGCCGAGACCTCCGTCTCAAAAAAAAAAAGAAAAAGAAAAGAAAAAAAAAAAACATCATCACCTCTGATCACATTCTCTCTGTAGTTCTGGTGGTCCTGACCTCTCACCACACCAGTAAAGCAGAACCGATTCTT